GAATACCTGGCTGCTGACTTTGCAGCCCAGATYTTGCAAGGATCCTCTTAGCTCTTAGGAGCTATGATCATACAGATGTGGGATAACTGCTCAGTGGTATAAATCCCACTGGAGTTGTTTCAGAAAGACACATATGAATTAGTCATAGATGTATGCAGCCATAACATTTGTGCAAGCTCTCTATCTGCCAAGAATCTCAGGAAAAACTCAGGGCAATCACCAAGACAAATTGTGTTCCAGCCCTTCACTGGTTTCCTGACATGAAGCTTTGTGTTCCAGAATATTGCTGCTGAGGTGTGAGACTTRCACAAACCTGAATGTGATGCGGCTAAGCAGCAGCCTGCATCCCAGCGCCATTCACTGACCTCCAACCTCCTGAAGACCAGACTTTTTGAAGATTTTTAGATATTTTATTYGTAAGAACCAGACTTTTTTGAAAAATACTATTTTCTGTACGTTTAGTTTAAGCTAGTGACATGAGTGTTTCCMCTTCCAGATCCATGCTGAATAGTCAAATATGATTTCTGGAAAAATCTCCATCAGTGTCTGACAGGCAMTGCAAGAAATCCAATCCATCCTGGTGCCCTCAAGTTTATAAGCAATTACGGACCAATATGCTTGAGTCCGATCAAGTCTTAACTTCTAAAGTGTCACCGAGAGGTAGAGAACCTGGCTTGGAAAGGAGMTGGAAAAGCCCTGGTGCTTTGAGGTGCTGCTCTGGTTTAATCAAGAGAATTGAATGAAATGGAGGAGGGGGGAGGGAAAAGGGGGAGGGAGGAGGAAATCATAAAACAACAAAGTCGCTCCTTTAAAAGCAGACACCGCTTTCAACTTTTGTATAGTCGCAGTCCTGCGTGTCGGTGCCAAAACGCGCCAGGGACAGGCAGGGCTTCTTAGTGAGAAACCAGGGCCCTGCATCTCTTAAAGCCCTTTCAGCCTCTTGGAGGAATGTCTCAGTTGGGGCAGTAGCAGCCCTGACAGACACAAAAATCTGCGTGAAGTCAGCTGTCTGCCCTGGCACAAAATGGCTGCCTGTCGGCCATTTTGTTTCCATAGCTCTGCCTATAAGGAASCCTGCATCAACGTCCTCACCTTGTTGCCTTGCTAGAGTGGGGAAAATAAAAAGCAAACACACCAAAAACAAAACAAAAAAGYTCCTCAAGATCAATAAAGTATTCAATATTGCAGGGGCATGGGGATGCCAGGTACCTGCACAACTCCCTTTGCTCCTTCCGTTCACTTTCCAAATTTTTTTCCTCAAGTCACTGTGCTGCTTCAAATAGTTTCATTTGCTCCCAACTCATCCCAAATAGTTTCATTTGCTCCAACTGTGTCAGAGCCCGTGTCTACATACTGCACCTTGCAGAGCAGCGCAACTCTACCTGCCAGCAGCAGGGAGCATAGGTACCGAAAAAGCAGCAAAGAGTCCTAAAAACATTTTGATTTCACCTGGTACGGCTGCAATGCATAAATATCCAAAGGGAAATGGAAGTAAAAATATTTAAAATTCATTCTTTTGACACTCTGTGTCTCAATAATCTTTTGCTTCCATGCTGTTATCATGACGTGGRTAGTATTTTGTATCAACATAGGAGTAGCCTTAGTTTTTAAAGGATTTATAAAGAGTAAGTTAAAAAATAGCAGCTATTTTAATAAACATCTTTTTTATTACTATTATTTAGGGATAAATTTATTAGGGATTGTCTSAAATCTAATCATATGTTTAGAAACATCTAGACCATAATTAATGGATATGTTTTGCTATCGCAATGCATGCATCTGCAACATGCTTGTTACACTGCCTATCTTTTACTAAACCTTCATAAATTTATTATTCAGGATAGCCACAAAAGTAATTTTTTCCTATACATTTAAGTATCTTACTTTACAATTAGCATAAAATTGCTAATCGAAAGGTAGCGATTTCTGCACTTTTCTGTAGGAAAAAAAAACAGATTTTTTTTTCTTAAAGTTAGAACAGGCACTACGGACCCTTCATAGAATAATTTCTTTGAAGTACTAAAAATCAAGAATTATAACAGAAATATAAAAAAGCATTTTTTGTTTAACTGCCCCTATTCAATTCTATAGGATAACCAACAAACCCACAGGAAGAATATCCTTTCCTGTACTATTCTATACAACATTTCCATTTATGTTGTATTCTTTCAGGCTGTTCAGTTCAGAAACTGCTCTCCAAAGGTCTACAGGACACCCCAATGTATATTCAGACCTAAATATTTCATTAGCCATGAGAGCCATCCACCCAGTGCCCACACATGCAGTCCCAGCTCTGAGACCACCATTCCCACTGCAATTGTCTACATTATCTTCTTGTAAGAAAGCCAAGCAGATAGAGGTAAATACCTTTACATAAAAAGCAAACCGACATCCCTGTCTGCTCTCCTTCCCAGCTTCTCCTCTGGAAGTGTCGGCTTCTCTCCAGATATCCGGACAAAATCCCTCAAGAAAGGTAAGGTGATCACCCCAATACTGATGTCTTAGCCAAGCCTGGTACCCCCATGCCTTGGGTTGGAGCTTTGTCCCTCTGAACATCCGTGAACGAAGAGATGCGACTACCAAATGAAAAGCCGTCCGGGCTACTGAGGGAAATGCAGAATCACTTAAAAAAAAAAAAAAAAAAAAAGCACAACCCCTGTTATTTGGCGCGTGTTCGGATATTTTTTTTGCCATGCTCTGTGCAAAATTGTATGGAAATGCCACCAAGTTCCTTAAAACTTTCAAGGCACATTACTTTGCCTGGCATCCCTGTTGTGTATTGCAGCTGACCATGTGCAAGGTTTGCACACTTATGCAGTACACAGCTTGTTATCATGATATGACCCCATCCACGTAAGAAAAAACAAGTGCTTTGCAAGCCAGAACAGTTACTTCTTTTAATATTTAAATTAAGATTTTGTATTCCCAACATTAAAGCTTTTAAGACAAGAAGGGAATAAACACAACAAAAAAAAAAACCTAAAATAATCCTCTGGATCACACGAGCAAAATCCAGGCACTGCCAGATCAATGGAAAGGTCAAATATTATATTTACCAAAAACAAGAGGACACACAACAGGTTAAAATGCTACCGTCCGGCAATGACYGGCTCTAATCATACCAAGCCGATGTGTAAAACCATCCGCCCGTCCAAAAACAAATTAGACAACAGTGCTCTCTGGTACTTTATAAATACACAAGAAAGGAGGGCTGTTTTATTGAATATAGTGAACAAACCTTTCCGTCCGGCTATACCGTGCAGCCTCACGACTCTGTATGCATCGAGTAGCCTTACTCTGCTAATACAAAAGCTCAGTTTGGCAATTCCAGGCATTTTCAGTGCTCAACATACGCCAAAACTACCCACTCTCTGTCTCTGACTTTGGTCTCCGTCCAAAAGGTCCTTTTTTTTTTTTTTTTTTTTTTTTCGCTACAGCCGGTGCCACGTAGAGACGGGAGAGTTGGGCTCAAACATGGCCGCAGCCTACAAAAAAGAGCCAAGTCCCAGTGTTCATGCTTCTCCCTTCCTGCTGGAAAACAAAATGGCCACGTAGCAGCCATTTTGTTCGCTTCAGGATGGGAGGGAGAAGGGAAGGGAGGGGAGACGCAAAGCAGGAGAGAGCACGCGGGAAGAATGGAGGGGGGGAAGAGGGAGGGAAAGGGGAGGGTGTTAAATTCAACAGGAACCAAAAAGCTCTGCAGAGATCCCTGTCTGCGTCCTCCTTTCCTGACGCTGGGGACTGAACAGCCTGCATGGCCCCGCGGCGGGACCCAGAGAGATGGACACAGAGGGACTGACGTGAGGTCAAGTCTTCCACCTTGCCAGAGCTGGTGGAGCTTGAATTGAACCCCTGACGTTAAAGGGGTTACRTTTCCTTCCCGGGGCCTGGCGAGGCGCCTCCATCCTGCCTACTGGCACAAGGCTGGCTATAGCTCCAGCCATCAGTGGCCCTAAGGAGAAGCATGGCTCCCAGTGCATGGCTCCCATCTGCATGAAAGCTCCCAGTGGGAACAGGGCAGGAGAACGGAAAACAACCTGGTAGTGTCAAGCTCCTGAACTTCCCTGGACAGGAAACTGTGTAAATAACACCCCCAGGAGGGTGTCGGGAGAGGGGAGAGGAACCCAGAACTGGCAACAAGGCCTTYGGGATAGAGGTTTGTAGGCAGAAAGGACAGTGTAGACCTTGGAAACCAGATCCGCAATTGTAGTGAGGTGGCTCAGGGAGAAATGTTTTAATGGTGTTAGCTAGGTTCAAATCTCTTCCTCCCCTTCCATCCAAGTCCCTTCATTCCTCATCTGACAGCAACAYGCAAAACCTTGATGCATCAAATGCCATAGTTCTGTGTGGCCAAGGCCCCGTTATAAATGCGTTTCAGCTACTGAAACCATCTTCAGCCCAAAGCCTCTGGAATGCTCTGGGACATGAGAACTATGAGGTTCCCCACTGAAGGAGCTAACATTCATCAGCCATGTCTGCCTAGCAAGACTCCCCACAACTCTTCAGAAGGCCCTTGAGGTTGAGTAAGAGCCAAGCACAGCAGGGAAGTGCCAGCAGCTGCTCCATATTACCAGACATCCCAGGGTGCAGGTGTCTCCCATCCTTCTGGGCACACCAAGAAGAACAAAAGGCTGAAAGCAGTAGGAAGAAGTGCTTTGAGGCACTCTGGAAGGAGCAGTGCAGCAGGGCTTCCTATCGCTAGTTCTGTGACCGACTAACTGCCTCCAGTCTGCAAAGCACTTCTCAAGCTCCTGCAGTTTTACTGCTACAGCAGGGCATTGCACCTTCCAGTTTAGACAGCATGTCTGTGGCTTGAGGGACAAGAGAGGCATGGGTTGAAACCAGCTGGAAAGAAGTTCCCAGTTACAAGCCTAAGATGAAGGGAAATGCGTGTGCCAAAACTTAGCACAATTTTCAAACAATTAAAGATCTTTTGGGTGTATGTGTGTGTAATCTGTAAGAAAGGGTGTTGTCCAAGTTAATATCATGTTTGCATGGGATAAATTTTCGAGGCTAAACCTGGTATGCTTTCTCCMGTCACTGGAAAGGGGCAATTTCCCTTGAAAAGCAATTCAGAAGAGGAACTCACAGTCTAGTGGAATGAAGAATCTTACCAACTTTCTTCAGATTAATCTAAAATCTCCAGATGTGGCTTATTACAGATTATTAAAATGTCCTTGAAGATGAACATCACCTGTAACAAGTTCTATCAATGACTGCCTGTCTTAACTTCTCATTCAGGTAAGTGGTGGGCAGCTGCAATACCTATTTCAAAGGCAGATTTGTGCTGTGGATATCAGCTCAGTACTCTAGAAGTTCTCAAGGTATTTGGAGGACCAGTTCCTGGTTAGTTCAATAGTATTTGACAAGTTGAGTTTCACTTGAAAACTCTAGCCTTTGCTCTGAAAGAATATTGCATTTATTGTGCAGAATTTTTTCAGGAGCAGCATTAAAGCAGTCTGCAGCATAAGGATGAAAAATCTCTAGGTGTTTCTACCAAGAGAGACAGGGTAATGGCTATGTGAAATATGTCAATATGATGCTAGGAAAAAGAAAGTATTGAATTGCTCAGGCACAAATGCTTTTCTAGAGAGGCAAAACTGCAGGCACTCTGACAGAGTGAAAACCTTTATTGTTATCCTTTATCTATGTGAAAACCTCTTAGTAATAAAGACTGGCTATTATATGTTTACAGGACAGAGTGTTTTACCTTTCCCAGCAACACAGCCACTAGATCAGCTAGGCAGTATCTTCTTTGTGCTTCCCGAGCTGGAGAGATAGTGGGTTATAGACAAGCACACCATGGGCCTGGCATCACTGAGGACATTAGTAACCCAGCTAAAACTGCAGATAATCCCTCAGTACCGTTTGCTTATTCAATCAACCTTGGTTATAGTGGTGGTGTGTGTTTGAGGGGTGAAAGACGGGAATCTAAGAGGAAGTGAGGCCTCTTAGCATGGAGGGGAAGGTATCCGACTGCATAAACAGTGGAAAGATATCATGAACACACAGGTTTTGTGGATGTAAGCTGTGATGTTGGTTTATATTGAGAGGCCAGTGTGAATGCCATTGAGATGCTGGAGTGTGACAAAGAATGAGGGAGAGCTGGTGTGTGGAGACGTATATTTGTAGCCTCTAATATGCCTRTCTCCTGTCCCTGAGCTGCTGTGGGTTTTGCTAGTGCTAGATCAAGATGCGGTCGTGAAAGGTCTGCAGGATAGGCCAGTTGAGGTGCTGCTGCTCTGACCTCACCAGAGCACTTGTTCAAGCACATCTTTGATTTACTCAATCCCCAGGAGATTCTCTTCATTAGGAAAGGAACCGTTCAATGCAAGGGTCAGTGCTCATGATTCCACATGCTTCTGCTTGCTGCTTAGGCRTTTGAAAGGTTTGTCTGTTGATGGCTCATATTAGGCAGAGCTAACAAGTGTTGTCTGACTCTGGATCAGAGCTGGGTAGGGAAAAACGAGATTGTTCATTACTGTTTGTGATTGGTGGTCCTGAGGCAGGGTCTGCGATGCTGTCTTGAGTCTTGCAAAGAACTATATCCTTGTGTTTCATCTCTGTCTCCCAACAGAGATATTCCATATTGGAAAGCTGAGGAAATCATCTGCTCATTGTCATTTGTTTGAGTGTCTGGGCTTCCCTGGCATTAAAGCTTTGCCTCTGGCACTCCGCTAGCATGTCTTCAGGACTTATCCTCTGGTTTATTCATGTCCCAGTGAGCCTGTACAGAGTCTCGCTGTCATCTCTCACAAGTGCTTTTCTACCTGTGCTGCCTATTTTGCTTCTGGTTCATGAAGCCTAGAGTGGTTGAAAATGTGAGTAAGAAGCAAAGGGACTGGGTTCGTTCACGGACAGGGAAAACTTTTCTCATGACTGGGGAGAAAAGACATCAGCTTTCCTGCTTAGTTGATACCAGTGTCTCTACAAACCCAGCTGGCTTCTCTGAGTGTATCTGGATGGATTCTCTTCTCCATGTTTGTCCGGTGGGCTTGAGCACTCTCTCAGGAGACCTTAGGACTGCTTCATTTCTACTGCAGGGGGACCATGTACATAAGGTCACCACAGCAAGAACAAAATTGTTTGGGGGAAAAAAATCATTTTGCACTGCTGAGCATCCAGTCTTAGCAAGTCACTTTGCCTTTGTTTTCCCCTTTGGGAGACAGATGCTCCCTACCTGCAACGCTGAGAAGGTTAATTAGTTAATGTACATTAGTACATTAGCAGCATGTGCTTTGAGCAATGGAATTGCTTTAGCCAGTAGATCTCCAAAGCTGCAGTCTAATACTGTCTCTAATAAGGATGGGCTCCCCATTTTTATCAGTCAGGACACGTGACAGCCTGACCAGTGTTTTTCTGGTTGTTTATCTTCCATGGCCTTGTTTGCACATAGCCACTACCAAAAACTCTTCTCTGTCCAGCAGGTAGGATTTATTGCTCCTTTTTCAGTAGCAGCAGAACACAGAACAATGTAGGGCCTATGCAAACAAGTACTGYTGTTTTCTTTTGCTTTTCATTTATTCCTTGGTGGTGGTAAGTCAGCATGTTCCAAAACAAACAAAAATCACAAGATTTAAGACCCAGAGAGCAGTCTAGAGCAATGTAATAGGGGCTGAAGGCAGGTTGAACATAGATGTTAAGCAACAAGTGCCCCTTAAAAGCAAATTAAATGCCTAAATACCTCAAATTATTTCTGATCAGTTGTGATGTTTTGGCACTCTCTGCGTGGCAGTGATGTTCACTGTGTTAAGGAAGCTCCAATGACCGAATGCAACACAAGCAAGAGTTAATATAACTTCAAGTTCACACTGTTTGAGTATACTGGACACCAGGACTGGGGATTGCAACCTTCAGATTTTTGCCCTCATTCTATCACCAAGCTTGACCTTTCAGAAGACCCTTAAGGACCATGCAAGCTTGAGCCACTGTTTATGARGAAAAATTATTCTGCAGGCCAACTCCTCCTTTGACTTCAAACCAACAAGCTCCCTGCTGTTTGCAAGCCAATGCAAGACCATCAGGTGCATTCTGCATAGCAGGGCAGGATTGCCCAGGAAAAAGGGTGGAACAAATCCTCAAGATTCTGTGAAGACACCTATCAGTTTTAACCAGCAAGACATTACAAGCCTGAGGTGAGGGCAAGAGGTGATCAGCAAGACTCAGCAAGACTTGCTGAGGTGATCAGCAAGACTTCACAAGCCTGAGGTGACAGTTAAGCATAATYCACCTTTACCTGCTCAAGGTAGACGGAGCTCAGCTGAGCAGCTGATGTCTGGAAAGTTGAGCTTATCAACATGTTACAAAGACACAGTCATGGCAGCCGTGGCTCATAGTGAGCCTTGTTTTCTGGCTCCTTAGAGAGGCCATTGCAGTTGCAGATAGGAAAAGAGGCCGGGAGGCACCTGCCTGTGTGCTCTTGATGCGCAAGGATGAGCAGATGCGTTGATTACACAGGGAGAAATGGACACTAATCACATCCACATCCACCAGCTGCAGGATTTCCTCCTGAGCCSTAGAGGACAGGAAGCCCTTACCTGCTTCGTTATCCTGGCTCCATTAGCCCCTTCCACTGTCTTGGGAACCACATCTTGCCTAATCCTCTGAGGAGAGCAAAACAGAGATCCAGGTGGGAATTGCCACAGTGCTCAGGCAGGGCTTAGGTCCAACRTGAGGTCAGGGGCTTATCTTGGTGTCAGCTCCAGGACAGCCAGGTTCCAGTGGCCCAAACAGTGCAGCCCAGTGCCCATGAGCAACCCTCCACCACCAAACGTGCTGCCTTGCTCTGTCCTCTCACACCTCACCTTTTGCAGCAGCCAAGTGATAGCAAAGATAAACGAGCGACAAGCAGCTCCACAATCGCAAAGCCAGACTACGGAAGAAGCGAAGGGAAATTTGGGAACGAAGCATGTGAGACCAAGAAAACTGTAGCAAGTAAAATAAATATCAGTTCTTCCAAGGACCAGCTCTTGGGGGTTTGGGGGGATAATTTGGACCCAGGTGCTTTTGGATACTCCATGTTCCCCTTGGTGTGTGAAGTCGTTAGCATCAGCTCTCTTTGGGATGCATTTCTGTGTGGATCCCGCTAAGCCTGTGCCCCTAAATTCACTGGAATGAGCTGTTCCTCAGTGGAAAGGCTGAGGGACCTGCACGGGCTGAATTCAGTGTTGGCTCCTTCTCCTTCTCCACCATGGGCAGCCACTGCAGGGGCAAAGCCGACCACATGGATGGTCCTGGAGAAAGGGAGCACAGCAGTCCCTGCAAATGTAAAGCAGGTGATTTTCATGAGGCTGACTTTTGCTCCAGGTTACAGGAAAAAAAAAAAAAAAAAAAAAAAAAAAAAAAGTAGCAGGGGGAGGAAGGGAAGGAAAACAGAGTCCAAACTCTGCTATGTCAAATCTGGCCCTTTTAAGGAAAGGAAATTTCCCAGAGCCACCCTGAACAAACCAGGAGCCTGATCCTGCTCTTGGGAATGTCACTGTAAACAGAGTGGCTGCTATCACTGCTGGAGAGGTTTATAGTGGCCAAGGAAGGCTCAAGCCTTGCAGAAAAACTCGGGATGTTCCATCCGCAGGTGGAGCAGAGCTCACACCAGAGCTGCCTGAGAGCAAACTCCAGATTCAGAGGCGATACATGGCAAAAGGATCCAGCTCCCAGTTTCAGGAATTTATCCTTTTTGCTGAGCCATGTTCTGGAAGCACAAGACCCATTTTGCTGCAAACTGCGGAATAAAACAGCTGTGGCCCTTGGCTGCATTGGCTCTTCCAGGGGTGCCAGATGTTTTGCTTAGGACACGTCAGAAGTGTCTCTCTCCAGTTTGGGCTCTCCTCCATGGCTTTTTCCAGGGAAGTAGTATAGTTTGGGGGCAAATTGGGAAATGGCTTGTTCCACCTCACGCTCAGCTTATGTGATTAATCTGCAAGGAGAGAGCTCAACTGACCAGCAAAAAAATTAGTGCTCCCTTCTCATTAGCATTAAGCATCCAAATGTAACCTGGCATGCAAATCAGCTCTGGCCCCACAACAGCTCTCCTTGGGATGCTGGGGCTCAATCCCGAGATTCCCACAGCTCCTGCTAAYGGCAACACAGGAATTTCAATTCCCAAACCAACTGCGGTGCCCTGTGGAAGCCAAGGAGCAGATCCCGGAGTTGTGAGGGAACTGCCGCCTCCCTGGTCTCGCAGGTGAGTGCAAAACRTGCCGGGCAGCCTGAAGGACGGTGTAAAACCCAGCACCACACCGGCACAAACTTGTCCCAACAGGGACTTTGGTGCCAGGCGGCCTTCGCCACCCCGTGCGCGGTGTTTTAGCCTCACGGCACCTACCCCAGCAGGGCCCCGGAGAAGGGGCGCACGGAGGGGACACCGAGAGCCCAGCGCTGCGCCCTGGCCGCCCTGCCCCGAGTGCAAAGCTGTGCAGAGCCAARAAGCCGCCAAAGCAGCTCCGGGAGCGGGCGGGATACGGAGCCAAAGCGCGCCTGGCAAATTCAGGCCTGGGCATTTAGCGGCCGGTTTTGAAGGCTCTCCTGTACGGCCATGTGTCACTCCCTGAAAGAGGGTGGGTTTTTGTGGGGTTTTTTTTTTTTTTGGAGGAGGGAGGAGGAGGGGGAAGCCGGTGAGGAGGAAGGAGGAGGAAAAATTTGGTGAGCGAGGAGGGGCGGCTCGCATGGCTGCCGAGCGCTGGCGAAGCACGCGGCGGCGGGGAGGGCGCCGGGCGCCCGTGCCCTGCGAACAAGCGGCTTTTGTGGCGGCCCCAAAGGGGCCGAAATGAAGTTTGACAGAAAGAGGACGGATTCGCAGGCGCCGGGGCCGCAGCCCGCCGTTGCGCGCGGCCAGGAAGAGCCGGGGAGCGGCGGTGCCAAGCCTTGCCCCGCGGGCCGGGAGCTCCCCGCCACGAGGCGCGCGGCCGCGTTCCTCCYGCCAGGTGCTTCCACAGGAGCACCCGCAATGATAAACTCCTCTCCTAAGCGTTAAGGGCCGCCATGGCGCATGGGAAACGTCCTSCTGTCTCCTTCCCAGGGAAGCCCTCCGTGCCCGTGGTGCCCGCCAGCTTCCAAATGGTTAACGCCTCGCACGAGCAGCCCGCGGGAGCTCCCCGCTTCCCGCATTGCTCCCGGTCAAAACACGCCCCCCCCCCGTGAGAAAAAAAAACAGGAAAATTATCCTGCTCCTGTGACCAACGCCGGGCACCTTCCTGCTCCTGTGAGCCTTTCCCTCGCACAGCGAGGAGCCTGCGGGGCTGCTCAGCGTGAGGAGCCCCAACCACGTTAGCTGCGGCTGCCATGTTGAATTGCAAATCCGACATGATTCGACATATTTTTTGTTGTTGTTTTTCCCACCCTTCGACAGTGCCCGGCGCGGAAAGAAAGCGGCAGCGGGTGCCAGCGGCTCTGGGGGCGAGGAGGGCAGGGAGAGGAATCGCCCTCAGTTCCTGCTTCAAAGGCGGTGTGTAGGGAGCGGGCCGGCGGCTCCGCGTCCCGCACCGGAGCACAGTGAGGTTCAGACTCGGCCCTTTTGGCACCGAGGGCCGGGGAACTCAAAGGGAAAAGGGGTTCGGGGAGAAGGGAGGTTAGAGCCGCGACAAAGGGCCTGAGCAGTTGAGCAATGAAACAGGATTTCAAATTCAAAGGCAAGAGAAAGAGGAAAAAAAAGAAAAACAAACAAACAGAATAAATAAATAAATAAATAAATAAACCCCCAAAATTAAGAGTGAGGTTTGATTCCGTACCAAGGCAGCAAGAGAGACGCACCGTGGAAGAGAGTGGTTTTGTTGTTGAGTGGTTGCTGGATTTAGCTCCGCTTATCCGGACAATCACCAGGGAAGGATCCTTTTCCCGAGAAAGGCCAGTTTGGGTGAGACAGCTTTTTTTTTTTTTTCCCCCCCTCTCCCCCCTTCTCTTCCTCGCTCGCGCTCTCCCCTTTCCCTTCTCCGCGCTGCTCGGCGCCAAGGAATGGGCGGTGCCTGGATGCCAGGCTTCATCCGAACGAGACACCCAAGGCCAGTGCAGAGGCTGGCACAAAGGGGAGCTTGGCAGGGATTCCTGCGCTCGGCGCCGCGCGCGCCGCCCGCGGGACCCGCTGGCCTCGGGACCCGAGCGGCTCCGAAACAAAAAAAATGCAAAAAACAAAAAATACCCCAACCGAAAATAGGCAATGGGCGCTCTGCCGTGAGTCTAGGGGRAAAAAAGAAAAAAAAGAGAAGAAAAATAAAAGGATAGAAAATCTACAAGCCAAAACCTTCCTCTTCATCGGCACGGGTTAAACAAAAGGCCGAGGGTTTGGGTTATTTTTTCCTCCTGCTGCTTGTCCCGCCTGGCCCCCACCCTGGCTCCCTCCTGGCACCCTCGGGCACGGCGCCCTCGCCCGCCGCGCGCGCGAAGCGCAGAGCCCGGCTCCCTCCTTCCTGCCCGGAGCACGACGGGAGGCGGCGGCTCCGGGAACACGGACACGCACACCCAGCGCCACGGCCGAGGCCGGCGGGGGGAGGGAAAAAATAATAAAGGACCAAAAAATGGGTATATATAAACGCAGCGAGCATGGAGGGAAACGGCCAGCGCGGGGAGCGTTGGGTTGGGGGGCGCTTGGGTTCGGGTGGAGATTTTTCCGGCCTTTTTATCCGGCCTCGAGTAGCCGGGTCGTGCGGATGGTTAAAAAGGGAAGTAGCGGCAGATTGGGAAAGAGAAGGAGGGGGGGAAGCTGACGGCGACGCCGCTGGGGAGATGCCAAAAAAGCACAACAAAAACCCCACATTTTTGTTGTAAGCAAACGGGAAGGAGAAGCGGCGGGGGGAGAGCCGACGGGCACGGGGCGCGCGCGGGAGCCGAGCGCGAGGCAGCCCCGCGGCCTGCGCGGCCGCGCTCGCCTGGCAGCCGCGCGCTGGCACCGCTCCGCCGGCCGCGCCGAACAAAGCGGGCGCTGACGGCGCGCCAAGTGACAGGCGCATCTCCCGCATGTTAATCCCGAGCGGACCCCCCCACCCCGGCCGAACCGCCAGCACCCCCCCGGCCGCCACGCACACACCCAAAGGCGGCCGCGCGCCCCAGGGCACCCACGCGAAGGGGGAAAGGGCCCCTCGTGCCCAAGCGGCACTGGGAAAGCCAAAAATCTCCCCTGGGCCTCCRAGGGTTTTTCCCTCTCTTTCTATTTTTTTTTTTTAAATCAAAACAAGCGCTGCAGCCACCCCGGGGGCCGCGGGCGGACGAGGCCGCTCGGCATCGGCGGTACCTGTTCCCGCTGTCTTCCTCGCTCGCCTTTGGACGCGTGACAAGAGCGGGCTYGCCTCTGGTGGGCTCTCGGAGCCGCGGGGCTGTAACCCTTTGCAGGAAGTTGGCACCGATCCCAGGTAGGACTTTACTCCCAGATTTCCCCCCCCGCCGTCTCCGGCAGCCACCCCGGTCAACCTCCGCCTCCCCGCCCTCCGCTCCGCGTCGCCCACCCGCTCCGATCACCCCCCCATGGCGCTCCCGGCACCCCGCGCTCTCCCCGCCGCGCGCCTCCCGGAGCGCCCGGTGCCCACGGGGACGGCAGCCAAGGCGGACGCGCGCGCGGCACGAACGGCAGCCCCYCATTAAGGCTGGCCCAAGCGGGGTGGCAAGCGGCAACGTCCCGCGCCKGCGCCCAAAAAACGCCACTTTCCACATGTTGGGGGGGGGTAAGACTGGGTGGCGAGGCCAGCACGGGGGGAGCTCTCTCAAGAGGACGTTGGGGTTTTTTTTTTTGGTCATTGAACCGCTCTTTTTGGGTTTGGTTTTTTTTTTTTTTTTTTCTTTTTTTTTTTTTTTTTTTTTTTTAAAAAAATACGTTATGGGGATTTTTAGTCTTCAGAATTTTGTAGTGCAGGAGCATATTGGAAGTATGTGCCTATGCGTGTATCTAAGATGTGATATCCTGTCATTTTTTTTTTTTTTTTCTATGTGTTTTTTGTTTGTTTTTCTAAAAAAATACGCTATGGGGTTTTTTGGCCTGCCACACTAGACCTGAACCCGAAGGGAAAAGGGGACGATGAAGAAGAAAGGGAAAAAAATATATAATAATTTAAAAAAAAAAATGGAAAAACAGCGCCGATGCAGTGAGGACAATGCCCAGGGAAACGTCGAGCTCGCCAAGCCCCGCGCCCGCCCCGGCGCACCGCGCTCGCCCGCTCGCCTCGCTCCTCGGCTTCTCCCTTTTTTTTTTAGGAGACTCCCGGTGCCTGAATTGTTCCGGTCCGCAAGCGGAGGAGGGAGCCGGCACACGGCCCCGGTGGCGCGGGGCTGCCGAGAGCCTCGGCGGCCGAGCAGGCGGCCGGGCGGGCGGGCGGGCGCCGGCGGCTCCCGTGGGCAGCCGGCGAGAAGAGCAAGGCTACATTAACATCCAATTAATGCCGTGTTTAACGAAGGAGACAGAGGCGGCTGTTGTTTTATTGCCCGGTTCTTTTCAGTCGCAGCTGACAGGCAGCAGGGAAGGCACCCCTGCTCTGAGTGACGTCATCATATTTTATTTTTTTTTTAATTTTTTTCTTCTCCTCTCTTTTTTTTTTCCCCCTTTCCTCCCCCCTAACCACCCCCCCACGCTCCTTCCCTCCCGCCCTGGCTTTTCCTCCTCCAAGTTTCTCGGCGACATCTCAGCAGCTCGGGAACTCGCGGGCGACTTCCCCCCTTCTCCGCCTCCGGCCTCCTTTGCCCCCCTTCCCCGACGCCAGCCCTCGAGAGAAAACAAAACGCTCCGAACCCACGCCGACGTCTTTGTCCTTCCGACAAGAGGAAAGGGCGAACGCTCGGATAAACGGGCGGCGGCGGCGCGCGCCCGCGTGGCTGCCGGCGTGCCCGCGTCCCCGCCGCGGCTCTGCCGAGATGGCTCTCGCCGCTTGTAAAACTTGGAGGCATGTGACTCCGCTCCCAGCCTCCTTTGGCAGCGTGACAAGAGCTGCCCTGGTGGCTTTTAAGGAAGAAACTCAATTCGGAGAGATTAAGGCGTTACGGGCGGGTTCTAACCGAGGCCCCCACAGAGGTTAGGGGCAGCGTCGAGCGGCGCCCGGCCCGTCCGCAGCCTGTCGCTCCATCGCGGTGGAGCGGGGAGAGGAATCGCATTGGGAGCGGGAGAGATGGATTTATCAGCTTCTGCTCTTGGCGTCTCCCTCCTCCCCCTGCAGGCCGCGGCGGCCGGAGGGGCCCAGAGCCAGCACCGACCCATCGCCACCGTGGCCTCGACACGGTGCGTCCCTCTCCAGCCTCCCCAGGCTTGTGCTGGGGAGCCTTCCAGCTCCAGAGGGTTCCGAATGTGCCCCGGCATCTCTGTCAGCGCAGGCTGCGGCCCTCGTGGGAGCGCCAAGGATGGCTGCGGCGGGGATGAAGGAATGAGGGCAGGACAGTGGCAAGCAGCTCCTTCCCTGCACGCGCGGCCATCGGCCACGGAGGCCACAGGCCTCGCAGCAGAGCTCCAAGGGTCGGAGCGCCTCCCAAGAACYGCCTGGGAACTGCGGGAGCGGGATGTGGTGGCCATGAGCCCTTGTGGGCCCGGCCTCGGCACGGAGCATGAGGAGCTGCCTCCGACATCCGTGTGGAAAGCGAGGGTCAGGCCCGGCCTCAACATGGAGCACAAGGAGCTGCCTCCGAGATCCCTGTGGAAAGCGAGGGTCAGGCCCGGCCTCAGCGCCGAGCACAAGGAGCTGCCTCCGAGATCCCTGTGGAAAGCGAGGGCCGGGCCCGGCCTCAACATGGAGCACAAGGAGCTGCCTCCGAGATCCCTGTGGAAAGCGAGGGCCGGGCCCGGCCTCAACATGGAGCACAAGGAGCTGCCTCCAAGATGCCTGTGGAAAGCAAGGGCAGCCTTCACCTCGGCCTCCCTCCCCATCAGTGGCCAGGAGCCCTGGGGCCAAATCCCCATCAGTTCCCGCTTGMTGATAAGCAACACACAGGGAAAGGCAGCGACCTGCCCGTGGGTTTTCACACAGCAGAGAGTCAATATTTAAACACAGGTTTGTTTCCTTGCTAGGCAGTGAAAAGACAGAGCCCTGGACAGGGGTCAGAGCTACCTGGCTCCATCCCACACTGCTCTCCTGGCTCAATCAACCCCAGYTCTAGTCTGGATGCCCCTGTTGTGGGCATCCCATCAGCTGCGAGCACTGGGTAGGGCACCTGCTAACGAGCTGATTAAGCTCGTTATTTTATTTAAGCCCAGAAGTTGCTGTTCAGAGAAAGTTTGAGCTGGTTCTTGGTGTAGATCTGGTGCCTGGGGTAGGCTTATTTTGAGGTAAGGARTAAGAGGAGCCTGTCCTAGAAAGCAGGAGAAGGTAAGAAAATGTTTCACTGCTCTCCTGATAGCAATCTGAGTTAGGCTGAGTTTGTGCATTAGCCTGTGCTTTYTATCTGTCTTTGAAACACAGTTTAGTTCTGTTTAAATTGATGAAAAGTTACATTTGGTGCAGATTTAGTGGAAATAGTTAATGGGAAAGCAACAGTGTCTTTTACTACTGTGGTGGCAGCCAGGCCTCACTAGGAGGGCAAAGACGTTGCTGAGCAGCAGAAAATGGTCATAATTTTGTAGATAYAAGTACAATTCTCCATGAGCAGGTGCTGTGAGATAGTGCTGGCTCCTGAGAAACAAGACACCAGCTTGTGATGTGACAAAGTGTCCCATGTTGGGCTAAGATCTTGCAAGCTGAGGGCRGGATCTGTGCCTGGGAGCTTTATCYCCCCMTGGATGACCTTTTCCAGATGGCTCCTCCAAGACAGTTCTGTTGGATACTGTTTTCTCAAACAAATAAAATACCTACATATTTTTCCAATATGACCTGGACTGTTTTCTGCTGCCTTGAAAGCTGAAATTGGTGTGTTAGTGGGATTTCAARCAGTTACCTCCCCATTTAGCCCAGGGGCACCCAGTGAAGTTTGCYCAACCAAAATCCATGCTGCAAATCCTGGGTAGGGTTATAGGGAAGGAGCTGAAGGCATCTTGGTTTGCAACAACCCTTTTACCTCCTGCCCTTTGAGGAAGGAATGAGTWGCTTGCTTAATCCAAAATCATCCCTGGGTAAGGAAAACTGTTATCCGGTACAAATGARCATCTATAAAAAGGAAACATTCAAGAGAAGCTTTTATAGCTGTATTTCAGAGCACATTTAAATCCTCTTTGAAATCATCTCGTGTTACAGAATAGGACCATGCATTATTTTACTTATGGGACTGTAACATAAGCTCTACTGGGGGAAGGCTGAGGGGGAAGGAAGGAATGGACTGACYGCATGACACTGAGGAGAGCTGGGCTTGGAATTGCTGGTCCCAGCACACACAAATCCTGTTACGGTCTCTTGGACCTTGCCTGGAGATGCAGATTGAGCCCATCTGTTAGAGGAAAGCGCCTGAGCAACAGCAGGCTGCATCCCTGAAGAACATGAGATGTGGCCCCAGCTACCTCCCAAATGTGTGCAGGTATCAAGAAGCCACCCAGGGAGCAGGACAGAGACCTGGGAAATGCCCTGGGGCTGCAGGGCAGGACGTCAGCCTGTGTTAGCAGCRCGTGGGAACTCGGTCCCCGAAAGCTCCTCCTGAGTCCAGTGACAGAAGTGCAGCACATGCTGAACTGGATGCAAAAGACTGCTTTGTGGAGCAAGAGGGGAACTGAAATGGGGGAAGTCTGCCTGGCTGCAGTAACAGCACAAGCTGGTGCAAAAACTGTTGTCTGGGGAGCTGAGGATAAATTCTGTCCCGCTGTTGTGGGTGGGCTCTGCTATGCAAAGGCCCAACCACATCTGAGCATCTTCAATCCTTGCATGTGTGAATAGCCCCTAATCCTGATGCCTCTCAAGTCTTCGGCCAGCTACGCATTTAATCCTTCATTCCAGACAGTAACAGACCTAATGTCTGTATTGCAAGGTGAGTTCTCTTGCTTCCTAGTGTTCAGCAGGAAGAGACCCTGCGCAATATTGCACGGCTCCTTGTCCATCGGGTGATGCTCAGACCTGCCTCGCCCTCAGGGATGTGCACACCCTGCTCATCTGCGTTGCACCCAGCAGGACTGAGCACCCTCAGTTAAAATCTTCGATGCAGCTGATCCCATTGAGCCAGACCATTGCCAAAGGCTGCCCTGGAGCAGTCAGCGTGCAGTGCACATCCTTTCAAGTGCTGCCCTCACTTCTGTTCAAGTCCCAACACTGTCTTGGAGACAAAACTTATCTGTCTCTGTAGGATGCTCTTTCCTTTATCTGTTCTGATATCACTTTCCTTTCACATTCAGAGGAGGTGGTGTGTTCCCTAGTCCTCAGGTACTCACAAAACACTTAGGTATGGATCCCAGGGTTGTTCTCACCTGGAATGAGCTCCCAGTCACACAAATGTGTGCCCAGAAGGGATGCAATGGGAGATGTATTAGCATGGCTTTCCCAGCAAAGCAACATTGGATCTTTTGCCTCTTCTCAGTGTGGGCAGAACAAAGCAGTCTTTTGTCCRTGCACTGGGTCTCAGCAAATGCTTTGGGGTTGATTTGTTTAGTACCTGGGCATTTTCTGCTTTAAAAACAGGCTGCTCTAGTATCTCCAGCAGCGTGAACCAAAGAGCCAACTACCTTCTACTTTTTCTGCATCATCATGGTTTTCATCATGGTTGAGTTGGCTGCAAAGAAGGTGTTTTGGCCCAGCGAGAGGCTGAAACCAGCCTGCTGCAGGCCAGTTTGTCACTGGCCTCGCTGGAGACGAGGCGGCTTGTTCTGGTACTGTGGACTTCGGACTGGAAAGGAACGGTACGTATATATCAAAACAAGCTTGGAGTTTCTTGGTGAGTCCAAGTTCATCACTCCTCCCCAGGAGCCGGGGGAGTTAATCGATGGGGAAGCAGGACGCGGGCGCTCTGCGGAAGAGCAGGCTGGAACCGCGGAACAGCTGGCCCTGAGGAAGAAGAGCAGGCAGGTTATCCAAGGCAGCCAAAGGGTTGCCTGTCCTCTGCACCAGGACCACCGAAAGCCRTGCTGCCAGAGGAAGCCCTGTGAGCAGCACCACGCTCCCTCACCTGCTCCCTGAGATATCTCCAGCAGTGGATCCAGGATGTGAAGGCGGGAGCGTAGGGAGGGAGGCCAGCTCGCAACCTGCACGGCAACGAGACGGAGCTGAGACGGTGTCCGCGTGTTATCCAGGCCCAGAGGTAACACAAGGGCAACRGTAAGGGTAAGTGGGAACACAGGAACAGTGTCCGTGCTGGGCTGGAAGCCAAACGACTGCTTTGTTATTTAAACGGCAGCAGATCATGTAATTTAATTATCCCCGAGTATACAAACAAGTAGCGCTAGGTAGATATGTTCAGAGTCCAGTGCTGTCCACGGGATCTCTACCTTTGAGGACAAACATCATGGCAATGTAGCACTGAGGGGCTTCCCATAAACACGGACACAAGAAGAGCAACAGGAAGGAGTGGGATTGGGAAAACAAGCTGGGCTAAAGGAGGTATCCCTGCCTTGCTCAGGTCCATCCCATGTCTCCTCTTGCTCTTGCAGCTGATGAGAGATCTGCTTTCTCCTGTACTGCTCGGAGTCCCTAAAGTCCTTTTGATACCTTCTGCCTCTGGTCCAGCTGAACCCAGATGATGCCACCACAACTCTGCCTATTCCTCTTCACTTCGACTTTTATCCTGCCCTTGTCTGCACTCTCTGATCTAAAACTATAAGCAAGCTGGGACAGAAAATGARCTGGCTCTGCAAAGGTGCCTTATAGTTTATGGTTCATGTGAAAGCTTTACAATCATTAGCAGAGGATTTGGACAACAAGGGAGCAGGAGAAAGGAACAAAAACGTTAGATCTYCCTGTGACTGACGTACCCGCAGTTGTTCACCGCCATGAGATCTCCCACAAGAAGGAAGGGGTACGTCAGCATGCTCACAGCAATCTGCAGGCAAAGAAACCTGGTAGTATCTCTCCAGTGTCCATCATGTCAACAGTGCTAGTTACTGCYGTTCTAGCTTTTGCACGTTAGCTAAGTTATCCTGAGCTCTGCACAAAGCCCAGGCTTCAAGTGCTACAGCTTCTTCCCCAGACTCTCTCACCACAGACGGGCAGGAAGAGGTGGAAATGACGTTGCCTACATACCCCCATCACGAACTTCGTGTAGCTCCGGATCACCGATGCCTGACTGAACTGGAAAGACAGAAACCAAAGGGATGGTGGAGGAGGTGGCTCTGAGCAGAGTGCCACGGTCATCGCGTGGCACCCCTCTGAGAGCCTGACATGAACCAGCCTGGGGCAGCGCAGCATGCTGGAGAGCCTGAGGCCTGTGTGTTAGGCCAGCCCTTGCTCCCCATTAATGCCTTGCAACAGTGAGTCACTCACGTTATCGTCCACCGCGTACGTGTTGATGAAGTGTGCCAAGAGGTTGCAGCACCACAGGAAGATGACATCCCCCAGGATGTGAGGGACCAAGCCGCTAAAATGGTAAAAGAAGGAGGAAGAAAAAAAAAAGGTATAAGGTAACAGCAAGGTCTCAACCTACTGCCTCTGCTTTCAGCTCTCACTGATGAGGGTCAGTGCTCCCAGCTCTTAGTCATCCAAATAATGATGTTTGCCCTGTGCTTAAGGGGTGACTGGAGATCAGTGGTCTAAGAGGCTCAAAAAGGGGCCTGAGAATCAAATTCATTGAGAGGTGCTCCACCTCTCAAGCCTGGTGAGATGTCAAGGAGATGTGGACTAGGAAAGATTTTTTTTAAGATGACAAATCATTAAAAGCTCCTAAGCCAGAGCAGCAGATGAAAAAGCCTGCAGGCTGCAGTGACCCAATCCAACCACTTCCACAACCCAGCAAGAGGCATGCCAGTGCTGGAGGACTAGGACAAGACATTTTTGAGCTCTGACAGCTTAAGTGTCTGTTTGAGCCCTGCAATCACCTTTCTGTCCTGCTGGCAGCCAGGAGGCTGCTGCAGATATGATGGGAAGTGAGGTAAAGACATCAGGGAACAGAACTCTAAAGCATTTCAGGGGAGGGATTTATCTCTAGTAAGGTGTGCATCCAGAGTGAGCATGTGCTGCTGATAAAGCTGTGTATGGGTAAAAAGGGTAAGAGAAATAAGTGAACCTCCATGACTTTTCATGGAGTGGATATGTTTGGATTGCACTAGGAGGGCTGAGAGGAGAAAGGGAACAGTTTGGTCCTACAGGCGGTTTGCAGCCCCTCCATGGCAATGGGATTTCCTAGCAGAGCYGTAGCGTGTGTAGAACTTCAGAGCCCTCCTGAGACATTTTGGGTTGGGTTAAAGCCTTTCCTGTGAACTATTAAGTTTAATTAGGCTACCAATGGTGTTTATTTTATGTGGGGGAAGGGAATGCAGCTGGCTTTTCACGTGTGCTTTCCTAGCATGGTGCACAGCTGAAGGAGAGGGCAGCGTGATGGGCAACATGCTCCAGCCATGCCCCATGGGGAACATCTGCCCCAGGATGCAGGAGGAGAGGAGAAATCTGTGTTTARTGGAGGGGATTTGGGGCTGCAGAGCCCAGAGCTTGGCCAGAGGAAGATCTGGTGACACTTGGCCAGTGAGGTCTCTGACCTCTGGACTTTGTCCCCAAGGTGCAAGGTGCCCTGCAATTGCTTTCCTCTTCCCAATAAAGTCATGCTTCATGCGAAGGCCCAGATTTCCCATTTCTGATTCCAGAACAAAATGTATCTGGTCCAAAAGCTCTTCCTGGAAWTTTAGTGCTGGCTTTAGTATTATTGGTGTAATAAAACACTGGGAGCAGAGGCAGCAGGTGCCTCCATTTAAAAAAAAGAGGGGGGTGGCAAGAAGTGCTAGTGAAGGCTTGAAGTAAAAATGTATCTGCTAGACTCCAGCTTTAGCAATGCCAGCAATTTGCCATGGTTTGGGTTTGTATCTGGGCAGAAGCCCCTCGGAGCTCTGCACTGTTCTAGGTGGCAACGCACTAGGTGTTTCCCATGCATGGACAAAGCTGCTGCTAGCATGAACCACCTGCTAATTACAAGCGCTAATTACAAGGTGCTCTAAAGAGGAATGCCTTTCCTAACCAGRCTGTGGCTTTTGTTTCAACAAGGGGTGTCGTTGCACTTGCTCTTTGTGCCCACTGCAAAAGCAAGTGCTTTAAATGCCTTATGCCAAAGCACAGAGAAGCAACCAAGGGAAAAAGGTAGGAAAAAATTAAGGGGTTTCACAGGGCTCTACTGAAGATATGATCTGGTTCTTCCCTTGGGCCAAACCTACTGATAGAGCAGGAGCTCTCCCAAAGGCACAGATTTTATCTCTGCTTACTGGAGTGATATGAGTGTCCCAGGAACAAGACTACAGATAAAAGGGAACCAAACAWAACTAACTTCCCTGTGCTTGCAGAGCAACTGGAAGAGCCATCAGCACCTTCTGACCACAGGAGCAAGTATTTAAGCAAGAACTCACGTACACAAAGAATCCCAGGATCCCTTCTTCCTTCAATATCCTGCCGATGGCGCTGAACACTCCGCTGTGAAGAAAGCAGCAGCGCTGTAAGTGGGGTTACAGCTCAGCCTGTCTCATGCACAGCTCTGCGTGCACCCTGCAGCCAGCACCCCAGCMGTGTCCCCCATCCTGCTGCTGTGTCCTCAAAGCTGTGGGCAACACTTTTCAGCCCACTCCAGATGGTCACTCTGCCAGCCTGCAACAAATCCTGGGCTGCTGCTCAACTTACAACTGCATTTAATAGCTGAGGGCAGAAGAGTCTGCAGAGGAACATGCCACAAGTGTGGCCTGTAACTTGCTTTGACACAGCTGATGCTCAGCAGGAGCCCTGTCCTGCCTTGGGAACTTGTGCTGGGAGCTGTGGCTTAGACAGGGCTTAGGAGCCCTGTCTGGGCTCCTTGCAGGTAGCTGCAGTTGCAGTCTCACCCTGCAGAGGCGCCCTGTCACTACAGGAGCTACGGAAAAAGAACTGTAGAAACCACATGGACCCGCACAGCCACAGTAGTCCCTSGTGTCACCGCAGCCACCCTTGATGACTTTGCTTTCTATTGACATTTAATGCAAAAAGGCAGGAAATCCACAATGTAAGGAGCAAGGTGCATTACAGCCATYGGAAACCTCCCTGGAATGAGGCTGAGTTGCCAGGCATGCCAGGGCACAGACAGACTCCAGACTTTTTGGTCTCCCAAACTTCCTGGGTCACTGTATYCCCATCGTCTAGGAGCCTCTGGTCTGCCTGATTCCAGCTTTGATGCACCCCAAATCTTTGAGCRATCGCCATTCACCTGTATTTGACTTCCCGGCCTATGAACTGGACCATGCAGCGCATAGAGATTACTAGGAAGAAAGAAACACAGCATTAACAACCTGAAAGTGACGAACTTCATCGCTCTGATGGATGTGAAGGAAAATCCAAGCTAACTCTTCTGTCCCCCCTTCCCTCAACTCATTTCCAACTGCTCTCAATTCTCCTAAGCATCTCCAAATTTGTTAGAAAGTGTGTCTCTTCCTTGATCTGGAAGTTGAGAGAGGACTTCCTGGACCTAGCCCCAACAGGATTTCCAGGATTACCTCTCCGAGATTGCTGCAATGCTCATTTGGTTTATTCCCAACAGCCACATTGACCATTAGGATTCCTAAGCAGCCACTCTGGATCCGCATCCATTTTGCAGATTCATATGGAGTCATTTTCCAGAGAGGGGGGGAAAATGCATCAAGTGAAGAGGGCTTGGAGGCCATGTGCTGCCTAGACAAGGGCTACTCGGTGTGGAGCAGGGCAGGACTCACCGTGCAGGGGATGTGAGACGACCCGGGATGCACACTGCATCATCATCTCGTGAGAGGTCTAGGAAGGGGAGGAAAAAGTCACACTATAAGAAACTGTTCCATCTGCACGGGTCAATCCCATTCTCTTTATGTAGCGAAACCTGTCCCAGRCCTCTTTTGAAATCTGCTGATAGGGGTAGACCTCCCACTATTATTTCTATGAAATATTTTATAGCCGATCCCAAAATGACTACKAAGTGCGAGGGTCTGTAACCCACAGTTTCCTTCCAAATAATTTCACACATACAACTTGCTGGTTTATTTTCCCCTGATCTCTAGGTCCTCAGCATGAACTCCTCCCACCATTTGTTAACACAATATTAACAAACAATGTTTTCCAATTTGTGCCCAGCTGTGCACTACCTCTCTCACCTCTTTCACCACTTTCCTAAGGGAAGTCTTCACATCATCCTTGTTGGAAACGTGCTCCATGTCCTCCAGTGGAAAGGCCTGAGCAGGGAAAGAACCATATGGACAAARCTGACAGGTGCTGAACCACCATTCCCTGGGATCTGAGGACAGGAGGAAATGGTGAGGGAGAGATGGGACTTGAGACTGCTTACGAAGGATAAAAAGGCAAGTTTCAGGGACATGGGTGTCATTCTGCTGTCCTGGGGAGCTACTCAGAGCTGTGAGTGGAGGAGAGAAGCGGTGCTTTCCCCTTTCCCCTGCAGCCGTGGCCGGGAGCGAGCCCGTGCAGGCTCCCTAGCTCTGCTGCAGTAGCACGGGCCGATCTGCAGGCTGATTTATGGAATGAGGAGCTGACCTTTACCTTCTTCACGCTCCCTCTGGTGATGGTGGATAAAGTGCTTGAGACGAGCCGAGGAGTAAGACCACGGAAGAGACCTTTCTTCCCATCCACTTCCACAATGTGCCTGGCTGGGTAAGAAAACACCAGGTTGTTGTGAGTCTGGAATCGGCATGCRGCCGAAACCGCACCGGGGCTCAGCGTGTTGTGGTAGCTGCTTGTAGGCCGCCCATGACTGATTTATTAGAAAAGGTAAGACACAAGAAGTAATCCATAATATTTGTCTAAACTGGGAGGATAACTCCAGATTTGGGGGCTAATTCTAGTCTTGTGGTTATGTTCTGCCTATCTGAAAGGGCTATGAGGTGCTTTGACCTCCCTAAGGCAAGGAGGGATAATGTCCTGCTTGTTGCTGCCCGTTGTGGGATCAGACCAAGGCTGCTCTCAGGATTACACAGTCCCCTTTCCCAAACCTTCCGTGAAAGAGGGAGAGATCCCCAAAGTTGCACAGTGCTYGCCCACCTCTCCCACGCTGCTCCACCCACAGAGAGAGAAAACACTTTTTTCCCCCCTTCTAAATATATTACCTTCCCTTTTTCTTGGTATTTCTGTCCCTTTAGGGCTCCATCTACAATACAAATGAGGAGGGCAGGAGGCCAAGTTATTGCAGGACTGTTTTGTAGTGAAAAAAGGAACGTAACCATCTCTTACACATGCAAAGCCCCTCCACCAACAAACCTCCAGGGTACAAACTCCTGCTGTGACCTTACAGCACTATCAAAACGGAGCCCGGAGCTGGTTCATCCTGAGCGTGAGCCTCCTCTCRCCACAGCCTCTAGCCCCCAGTGAACTGTCTCATTCCCAAACCTCAGCCCTAGTCAAGGAATGTGCTTCCCATTGGGCAGCAACACAAGGGAGCACCTGAGACCTTGAACTCTCTGATGCCAGTGCATGTGCTGAGATTCGAGGGCTCCGCAGAGCATCCTCTCCATGGTCCATCCACTCTACAGCTGCACTGCAGCGCGCCTCAAGTGCAACGGGCCACAAAAGCCATGTCCAGCACCTGGGCCAGCATCTTCTTCTTCCCCCTCTTTACAACAAGAGACACGTAAATCCAGCTTTTGAATCACTTGTAGCATTTTACGTCTTCTCTAAACTTCAGGGATGTCGCTGGCATGGAGATGCAGGAGTGCTGCTGCAATTTGGCTCATATTGGGCTGTGCTGGGTCCAAACTGCACTGGATCTACCCGGGCTCCTAGCAAGCAGCTCCCGGCCCCATTTTCATCCCGTTTTCGGGCCACGGCCTCGCGCTGGCAGGAGGGCACGCTCACCGTAAGTGAAGAAGCCAGGCAGGTACAGTACTTTCCTCCCCAGCACGTTTCTTCCGACCGTTGGAGGTAGCGGCTCATGGCCAACCTTCAAGAGAAACCCTGTGCTCTGTCCCTGCTGCCAGCCCCACGCTGCCGACCCCGCGGCGTCTCCGGGAGCTGCCGCAGGGCTGCGTGCGCTCCCGGAGTTCATCCCGAATCCCAACAGGCTTCCTATGCCCTCCGCAAGAATAGGTGGGAGTCTCCACGGCGCAGGATGGCCCCTTCCACCCCTTCTCTTTCAGAGGATCCTTAGGATGCCGAYGGTCCCTGTCCCCCTGCTATAGGTGGGACCGTTACACAGGGCAGCCTCATCCTGTGGTATTTGGGGGGGTCCTCCTGTTTATATAGGGATACCCATCGCATAGGAGAGCTCACTGCCCCTTCTGCAGCRTCCCCTCCCATTATAAAGCGCTGTCAGTTATACAGGACATGCTTTTTGCTACATAAAGGCGTCCCCACTCTGTACAGGGTCCCCCTTACATAGGGCCCTGTTATTGGAGGGTCCCTATTGTAAAGGGTGTCTCTCCCCCACACTTGATAAGGGGGTGCAAACTGCAAACGGGGCCTCACCCCTCGTTACAGAGAGGCTCCCCGTGCCCCACTGGGGGTACTGTGGGACTGCTGCGGTGGGGGTGGCCCCATATGGGGGTCCCCCTCCCCCTGCTATATAGGTTACCTACTCCACAGAAGGTCCTTATCCCCGTTATATAGGGGCATCCCCGTTATATAAGGGGGCTTTACACACACCCGCCCCCCCCATGGGGTGCCCCCATGCGCTAGGGTCCCCCCCCCGCGCCCGGCACCTGCACGAGCAGCTTGACGTAGAGCAGCGGGTGGCTGAGGGCGGCGAGCCCCGCGCCCAGCGCCACGAAGAGCCCCTCGCCGCCCTCGGCCCCGCCGCC